CTTTCTCTATTGGGAATTAGTATAGATGCATTTTTGTTATGTAATGACTTCTGATCAATCCTTTTTGTCATCGATCTTTATTATTAACAACGCTTTTAATGTAGATTAAATGGGCTTGGCTGGCCCAAAATGACATCAATCTGGACATTTCATTGTTCTTCGCTTTCGCAATAATAACTGCCTGGAACTTCTTTGTTTCCAATAACCGTTGAAAACCTTTCCCAAGAATAATCTCGCCGAGCACTCCACAGTCCACACTGCCCCAATCTCTCTATTTTGGCTTTTACCGTTTCATCAGCACCATCACTGACTCTCCACAGTTGCTCCCATAGCGGATTTACTCATACATTCAAGATCCTGCATTTAAATAGCTTCTCAAAGCAATCTTACTCAAATTCTTTAGTTTGATTTAGAACATAAAAATGAAAATCAGTCGATCGTTGTATTTGATTGATGTTACCAAGTCTTGCCTCAATTCAATTAGCCAAGCTACTGGAGATTTTTTTTTGGTCTTTTGACCATATCTCCAAGCTACTGGAGAAAGGCAAACGGAGTAGAGCTCGTGTATGCGACGGTGGGGATTTCTTGAAGTGAAAATCGAATAGGAGAAGCGGAGTGGGTTTGATTTAAGGTATATTTTCTATGCCCAAATCCGTTGTTGATTAAGAGAATCATATGATTTCATTAAATTTCTTCCAATCCATTAAAATATATAAAAATTGAGTTTTGTAGCATTCGAGTTCTCTGATTTGTTGGTGAATTTATAGTTACTTTGCAATTGGCACTTTGATATTATTGTTCCCTACATTAGAGGAAACAAACTACAAAAGTTTATTCATCCAGTGTTTGAGACATTATCCAAGTAAAAAGAAAAATGTTTTCAAGCCTTTACATTCCCAATTTTATTCTTACAGTATTAAAATAAAAGAACCATAGAGAAAAAGGATATAGTGAATCTTGCCACTACTACAATGACTCTACTTCACTTGTAGATGGATCAAGGTACTTGCCTACCATCACGTGCTATTTAAAGTTGCCATCTAAAAAGTGCTAAAAATTTTTGTAAATGGTATAGCCAAAGAAAGTGCTACTAGTTGCTGTTGATGGGCATATCAAAATTGCTGATTTTGAGAGTGTAAGAACCATGCAGGATAGCTGCATCACCGTCCTTCCTAATGCAGCTTTAGATAATCATTTGATTTTATTATTTGGAAATTGTTTGAGACCTTTTTCTGAAATGTGAACCTAAGATTATTTCTAATAATTTTGTTGAATCAAATGCCATACTATTGCTTTCTTGCAACAATAGTTCTTTTCTTGATATTTTTTTTCTTGATATTTTTTTTCCTGATATTTTTTTTCCTGATATTTGTTAAAAATTTTCTAGGATTGGGTAGTAACAGATCTCTAAGAAATAAAAGATGGTATGCTGTTTAAAGGACTATGGTCTGATTTCTCTGCTTTCAGCATTGATATAAATGCTACGATTTGATTCGACAACTCAACTTTAACTTCTTCATCACTTTTTTTTTCCTTTTTCCTTTTTTTCTGGTTTAGAATTAGAGCAAAGATGAATCAGAAGAGGCAGATAGAACTGGAGCAATCATTTCTAACCATGTTTTATATATACATATATTGTATCACATGTCTTCTTTTTCAAGCTTTGTTGCCAAGGTATGTTGATTTACCTTCTTCTGAGTTTTGTCACAAAATAATTGTACTCTGGTATTTACTTAAGTTTTTTAGTACGTGACTGCTATGCTTCTCCTTCTGATCCACTGTAATCCTGGATTTTATTGCTAAAGAGATCAATGGCTAAACTTCCTCTGATTGGCCTCTAACTTTTAACATCCCCAATCCATATAAAATACCTGAAGTTTAAGGAATATATTTGAAATTTTCTTTATATTGCGTTTATACCTTCCATTAATGACTTTTTAGTTGTAGTACTAATGAGTTTAAATTTAAAGTAGTATCATCAATTAATTCTTATCCACTTTCTGTAATTAATATAAATCTTGGGGCTGTCGAAAATAAAAATGTGGAAATCAAGCAATTGGAATTAGGAAAGGAATTAGATTAATGAATGATAATAGAGGGAAGAATCGAGAACCAAGAGAGAGGGAATCCAGTGAGGTCTAGAACTTGAGCACTTTTCAATGAAGAAGTTTGGTAATGTTAAATTCTTTAGTCGTTTCCTCTTCTTCTATGACATGCACAGCTGTTATGTGATGTTTAATAAAGAGTTTTATCATCTTCAAAGTCACTTGATTGACCACCATTATGTTTGCCTTAATATATGTTTTGATAGTTTTAGCTTCATTTTTTCTGTATGTATTAAAGCTTGCACGGTAAATGCATACTTTATAAAGACACTTAATTACTGTTGAAAAAAAAACAATGATTACTGCCCAACTTAATTGACTTGTATCATAAGAAAAGTTTCTTAGTAGGTGAGTATCATTGTGTACCCTTTTAGCCCTGCAACATACCATTCTAATCGTTGGCTACTTTTTAGGTTTGAATTTTCAAACTTTGAAGGCAATGGCCAGTTTGGAATTTGGATTTGACTTGGTGGGGAGGCAAGCCTCCCACGTCTTTGCAACACAGAATTCTAACATTCTTTTTAGTTCTTGCTTAGTAAAGAGAATAGAACTATAGATATTTTTAAAGGGATCAAATGAACTTATTTTACTTGGTAAAAATAAATTAATTTATTTAAAATCAAGTATTAAGCATTAGAATAATTAATGGTATGTAACTCAGCAATATGGACGATGGTACTGTCTTTGTGCTTCCATGTTTCTAATCATGTTTTTTTTTTCTTTTTTTTTTTTTCCTATTTGCTAAATATGCTATTAATAAACTATTTTTTGAATTTAGCCTTTCGGTTGACAAACAAAAGAATTACAGGACAGGACAGGGACAGGGAATAGGGACTCTTTCGATCCTGCCTCGTTAACTTCTTCTTCCTTCTGTTTTCTACAGTATAGCAAACATTCCGCTCTCTCATCAATCATGATGGCCGCCCAACAAAAGCATCGAGAAGTAGCTACATTACATGTATCTTGAAGTGAAGTGGGTCCTGCTTAAGTGGGGTATTTTTCTTCTCTAACTAAACTACAAAGCTCTAATTTTTACATATTTGAGGGGAACACCTTCTTTGGATTTCTTCCAGAAATTAAGGGATTTTTTGTTTTTCTTGAGTTAATGAAAAGGGGGAAAGTATTCATTGCACGAGAAATAAAATAATGTTTTTCTTTTTATGAGTTTTTTGATTGCTATATTTTAGGCCATGTAATTATTCTTAATTTAGGAATTTCAGAGTTGTGGTGTTTATAATTTAAACATTTAGTGCTTCATTTTGCAACGTAACAAGGGGTTATGAAGAAATCAAAGCATTTCCTTTTCCTGGAAAATGCTTCGTTACAAGATTGAGATAGATTGGAGGGAATTTTCCAGCTACAATGACTTGACTACGTACTTATATTGACTTGGACCTAAAAATTTACATAGCTGAATTCAATGGATATTCTGCAGAAACAAGGCGCTAGCTTTTGGTTGGCAGTGGGCCTAATGAAGAAATAAAAGGAAATTTCTGTCCTAAAAATTTTAATAACGATGATGGGAGTATTGTAAATATGGGTTAGAGTACCCATTGTACTCTATATTAATAAAAAATTTTATTTGGCTGATCAAAAAAAAAAAACATGTTGTGAGCTGTTGGAAGTGTACAAATTCACGTGGATAACATTTTGAGTTGTGAGCATAATTCTCACTGAGAAAAATAATACAAAGGTCCCAAAGTGCAGAGCAAAAGCTAGATTATACTCGTGTTTTCTTGTTGACCATAAACTTCTCATCCATTAGGCAGCCTTTGGTGTGCAATGTTGGACCCGTAAACCCAATATCAGCAGCCTAATTTGACCTTTTAAGGACGGCTTAGGCACATGTTGTTAGAATCTGCAGTGCATCTGTTACAGTGTATTATCAACTTCAGATTATATGGTTTTGCCTAAAAAAAGCCCTCATAAAGTAAGGCATTCTTGCACATGCTTATAAGACAAGACACATACCTTTGGGGTTGTTAAGGTTAATAATTTTGTTTTAGATTAAGAAAGACCTACAGAATAATCATTTTTAGGGGAAGAGATGCAATTGCTATTTTTTATTTATTTCTTAATTTAGTAGAAAATGATCAATTTTAAGGTTTATTTATTTCAAACTTGTCAAGTAAGTTTCTCAATTTTGCTTTATTTTTATATTATGGCCAAGGAATCTGAATTCCTCAAGCAAAATATGACCATATAATCTTAATTATGAATTGACTTTACACTTCATCATGTATGCATATGTTGTTTGAAGTTTAAAGCTAGTCACATGCCTTAAATTCACCGCGTTAGTGAGCAATATGTCTTTCCACTAAAGGGCCCTCTCCACCTTGAAACTACATTCTCACATATAGGAGAGATAAAGTGTAAATAGTTCACGGGTGTCAATATGATTAACTACTAATCATTTTGAGTTTAAGCTTTTAATAACGTTGTATACATAGGTCGTAAATGGAGTTGGGACATAAGGTCAGAGTCCTGATCGATGGTATGAAAGATCCTTGCAATCCATTTAGGCATTGCGAAAGGCTGCTGACTTGGGCTATGGGAACTTGGTTGTTGAGAATGATTCTCTCTTCAGCCTCTTACCGCTATTATTGCATAATGTTGAGAGGAGACTCTTTGGATGGACTTGGTGCCTTGTAGTTGACGACATTTATTAAGCTTCGTTTTTCCAACGAAAAGAACCGGTTAAAAATGACTGCCCAATTGGCACGTTGCGGAATAGCTTACATTGACTTGCAATTAGAAGTTTGCAAGGAGTTGTATGGTGAGCGAAGTTTACATTTTAAGGGAAAAAAATCTACAAATTATCACACTAGTGCTTTGTTCTTTGTATTTTATTACTTCATAATTCATTTAGCTAGTCTTGCTGCTCAATCACCCCTCAATTATATAGTATTAGAGCAATAAACCATAAAAGAAATGGTAGATGGTGGGCGATGCAATACCGTCTTCTTTCCTGCTACCTTTCTATCTCTCTTTGTAACATCATTGCTTCTGACAAATGGTGAAGCTTTTGATTATCCATCAATTGTGGAGCCTCCATTCTCCCAGACTAACGTCGTCCCAACTGACTTTAGTTATTGGGAATCAGCAGGGGTGAGACCTATCTTGATCAATGGTAGTTTTGTTTGTGGATTCCACTGCAAATTTGAAGGAACCGCCTGTCTCTTTGCGATATCCATCATCCGATCCAGTTTTGGTGGCAACTCCAGCTTTTCTCCACAAATGGTATGGTCTGCTAATCGAAATAGTCCAATTGGACTTTGGGCAAAATTGCAACTTTCTCAAGAAGGGGATTTAACACTGCAAGATGTTCATGGCACTCTGGTTTGGTCTACAAAAACAGCAGGTAAATCTGTTTCGGGATTGAGGTTAACCCATGAGGGTAACCTTTTGCTGTTTGATAGAAACGGTGAAACGGTTTGGCAGTCTTTTGGTCATCCGACGGACTCTTTGGTCCCCGGACAAAGGTTAGTTTCTGGGCAGAAATTGGTGGCAAGTATGTCGGTCACAAATTGGAGTGAGGGTTTATATTCCTTTTTAATCGATGAAGATGGTTATTTTGTTGCTTCTGCAGCGTTGCATCCTGCCATATTTTATTATAAACTATTTGAGTCTCAATTAGAAGGCAAAACGGGGCAGTTTTACGCTGAATTCCGAAAGGAAAGTTTTGGTGCTTTCACTTTTTCATCTGGAGTTGATTTTATACAATTAGGCTCTGATGGGCACTTAAGGTCCTTCAGGTGGGTAGGATCAAATTGGGAGAGAGACCAAGATTTGTTTGATGACCGACTTGGCCCATGTGATTACCCACTGGCATGCGGAAAATATGGATTTTGTTCAGACGGGGACTGCAAGTGCCTAGATCCGGATGACAACGGAACAGCGTACTTCAAGCCAATTAATTCTAATCAGTCAGATCTTGGGTGTTCTCCATATGTACCAATAGGTTGTAAGTCTCCTTACCATGAAAGTCTTATTCAGATCAAGGATTGCTCTGTTAGCTTCTTTCGACCTAGTTCTAATATAACAGACATAGAGAGTTGCAAGCAAGCCTGTTTAAACAACTGTTCTTGCATGTTTGCTGTTTTTCGTAGTCCTAGTTATAACTCATCTGGCTGGTGCACCATTGGATCTGAAGCTTTGTCATTCAGAAAAGGTGTGAGTGAATTTTATAATTCATCTGTGTTTTTAAAGGTGCAGAGTTCTCCAATCGTAGTGCAGAGCTCTCCAATTGCACCGATTCCACAGAGTCCACAAAGAAAAAAAAGACAGAATATAGGAGTTATACTTGGATCCATTCTTGGGGCCTCTTTAAGTGTGCTTCTCTGCGTTCTCTTTTTCCTACAAATTAAAAAGGATCCAAAAGATGTTGAGGAGGATTATCTGGGCCACATCTTAGGAACTCCCACGAGATTCTCTTATGAAGAGTTAAAGGTTGCAACCAACAACTTTAGCAACAAGCTCGGTGAGGGAGGATTTGGTTGTGTTTTTCAAGGAACATTACCTGGTGGTGCTCAAATTGCGGTGAAATGCCTTGATGGTTTTGGACCTGTAAAGAAGACATTTATAGCTGAGGTTGAGACCATAGGAAGCATTCACCATTTCAATTTGGTACGACTGGTTGGGTTTTGTGCTGAGAAATCATGTATGCTTTTGGTTTATGAGTACATGTGTAATGGGTCATTGGATCAATGGATCTTCTGCAGAGACAAAGCACTTGCTCTTGGTTGGCAATGCCGAAGGAAGATCATTGTAGACATAGCCAAGGGACTAGCATATCTCCACGAAGAATGCAGGCAGAAAATAATTCACTTGGATATCAAACCCCAAAACATCCTCTTAGATGAAAATTTCAATGCCAAGGTTTCTGATTTCGGATTGTCTAAGCTAGTAGGGAGAGAGCAAAGCCAAATTGTGACAACAATGAGGGGAACACCAGGTTATATGGCCCCGGAATGGTTGAACTCAGTAATTACAGAAAAAGTAGATGTATACAGTTTTGGCGTTGTTGTTCTGGAAATTTTATGTGGGAGAAAAAATGTTGACCGTAATCAGTCAGAAGACGATGCCCATTTGGTAAGTCTTTTTAAGAGAAAGGTCGAGGATGGTCAATTTCTGGATCTAGTGGATAAGTACAATGATGAGATGCAATCAAATGCAGCTGAGGTTGTGCAGATGATGAAAGTTGCGGCATGGAGTTTGCAAATTGAATATGCTAAGAGGCCTTCAATGTCCATGGTGGTGAAGTTCCTAGAGGGCAGAATGGATAACGAAAATGAGTATGATTTCTCAAATCCACCCGCACCGGCTGAAGTGGAAACTCTCGGACACCAAATGGATGCAGCTGCAGCTACTGCTTCTTCAATTATTCCATCTATTTTGTCTGGTCCAAGGTGATGATGACATGGGGAAGAAAGGACATCTACTGCAATGGTGATACTACATTTCCTTTTATGATTGCATTTCCTTTATCCTACATTTTTGGTCCTCTTTGTTGTCATTAGATAATGCTCTTGGTTCCAAACCAGAAAGCAGAAAATGGAATTAGGAGAATTTTTAGCTGTGTGTGGATTCATTACTTTGAATTCATTTTCTAATTTCTTAGCTTCGCTTAAAGAGTCTCTATTCTGTTCCAAAAAAATAATAATAATAAAATCTATCTTCCTTATTAGGAATCAATAGGGGTCCTTCATATCTTGTATTTTTATAATGATATTTCAACTGCAAATTTGTGTTGCAGCTTGATATTACTAAATTTTAAACCAATAATTCTCTTACTGTTTCAATTTTTAACGCTTCCTGCCTGCCAATTGCTTCAGGTAATTGGATAATTATTTTATTTAATATATGAGATTAGTGTTTATCAACTCAAATACGTAAAAAAAAATTAAATGAAAAATATTCAAAATTATGTTGTTTTAATAAATCACAATTTAAAAATACTAAAATAACCCAATTTAGTTTTAAAAAGTAAGATGTTTTAGCTTTTTTTCAATAAAGTTTTATTAAAATGGCATTATTTTGAAATTTTTTCTATTCAATTTTTTACGGGTAGTGTTGATAAACATGTTTTCCATGATATAATATAACGAGAAATAATTGACCCCTTAAATTTTATTTCCAAAATTTGCGAAGAACAATTCAATCAGACTTAAAATACCACCCTGGGCCCCAATTCATTAAACCCATCTGCATCCAAGTTAGGTCCATGCTTCAAAGAAATACAATTGGGCTTTTTTCCCCAAGGACCCAACCATTTTGCTAAAGCCCAAACCATATTTAGACATTTCACTAAAATCCAATCTCACGATGTCCTCAATATTGTGTTTGGAAAAGGTTTATTTAAATTTGAGATTTGTATTTAAAAAATATATATTTAAAATAAATATATTTTAAATATATATTTTAAAATATATTATTTGGATTAAATAAAAAATAAATTTAAACTACATATATTTTAAAATATATTATTTGAATATATTAAAATGTTGTGTATTTAAAATTGAATTTCTTATTAAATTAGACTCTCTTTTAATCATTATTTAAATTGAATTTCTACTTAGTAAGAAGATTCTTTTTTGTACTTCGGAGAATGAGTTATATAATCCTTCCCCACCCATCTAGAATTTAAATTTGAAATCTATAATATAAAAATTCAAATTCTTAAATAGTGGGATATCCACTAGAAACAACTATTTATTATAACTTGATTTTTATTAAGTATTTATAATAAAATTCTTGAATTCAATAAAAATTAAAAAATGAAACAAAATAAAATTTAAGGAAAAATTAAAAAATCAATGCTTGACAACACACCAAATATATCCATTGAGCCCCCACAAAACACATACATATATAGTAGGGATCCACTTATATATAAATTTTTACACATTGTATTTATATAAAATTTTAATTATTTATCTCTCTATTTTATCTACCTATTCGTAAAAATATCAATAAAAAAATAAAATAATTAATAAATAATGGTAATTATTTCATATGTTTTCTCACTCCTCTAATAGCCTCAATGCATCTTAATAGCCTCAATGCATCTTACATATCTAGTTGTCTTGCCTATGATCTTTTTATTATTGTTAGTGATTCTCCAAAGTGATGAGCTCTTTGGCATAATGTTTAAGAAACTCATGACTTCTTCGATAGTCATATGTCAGATGGTGAAAATTTTTAAAAGATTTGAAACAGTTTTATGAACTTATTTATAAGGTGCAATTGAAGTATGGATTTATTTATTTTTATTAATTTTTAGTTTATGCTTGAGAATTTGCATAGAGAGCATAATTTTTCAAACAATACACAACTTTTTTTTTAATCTAAAATTATGTCCATCTTATTAAGATTAGTTGTGTTAATGTAATTTGATTTCTTAGTGATTGCTATTTGTGCATCATTTGGATTTCTTTGCATTGATTTATGGGCAAACTCTTCAAAGCTTCCTATCAATGGCTATGATGGGTGGAAAATGAAGACGGTCAAGTGTATTTTAAAATTCTAATTTTCTGACATTGTAAAATTATTAGTTATGCTAATTATAAGGTAAGTAATGAATTTTTCTTAAGTAAATAATTAACACATAATCGAATATTGGAATCCACTAATGGACATGAAAATGCAAGAATTGATATCCTTAATTAAGAGCAATTAAAGTTTTTGTCTTCAATTATTAAATTGGGGAAAGATAGAGCCCAAATGAACTCTTTATGCCCATTGCAAGATAGGGCCTTTTCTCTATGGGCTTTTCTTTTTTGCATTGTTTTTAAGGGGAAGGGTGTGCCCTGTGCCTTACCCTTCCCCTTAGTGGTTCCGCCACTGGGAGGAACTGATGTGGAAGATGCTGATGATGTTGAAGAAGTGGAGAAGCCAAACCCCTAATTACACGTTTATTTTCGTGCTCAACACCTCCAATAATTTTTCTCCCAGACAACACTCTCGATTTTTCAAAATCCGCAAAAAAAAACCGAAAGTAAACTGCGAATTGACTGCTTAAATTAGGAAAAGCTTTAATTTCCTTATAACCCTGAAAACCATTGACTTGACTGCTTCAATTGACTTGGAATTATAAGTTTGCCGAGCTGAATTCAACGGATATTCTGCAAAAACAAAACGCTTGCTTTTGGTTGGCAGTGCACCAAGGTTCTAGCATATGTCTCCATCGACAAGGATGCAGGAGATGTGAAGAAAATTTGGCCTTGGTCTCTCTGTTGCAACTTGCAAGGGTGAGTTTTCCTCTCTCTCTCTCTCTTTTATATATATATATATATATTTAATCATAAAATTTCCTCCAATATAATAACAAAAGAAGAGGAAATTTCTGTCCCATAGCGTTCTAGTATTAGTTGAGACATGGATATGTTTAATTTTGAGTTGATAATTTTGTTTTAGATTAGGAGAGACATACAAAACAATCTTTTTTACGGGAAGAAATGGTAATAGCTATTTTTTATTCTTCTTTCTTAATTTAATAGAAAATATGATCAAATCTCAAAGTTAATTTATTCATTCTAAACTTGTCAAAATTAAATTTCTTAATTTTATTTTATTTTTTTGTTATGACTAAGGAATTTGAAGTATACACATTGAGTGCTGAGCGAAGTTTACATTTAAGGAAAAAAGAAATCTACACACTATCATACTAGTGCTTCCTGCTTTGTATTTTGTTTCTAATTAATTCATTTAAGTTGTCTTGCAGCTCAATTATATAATATTAGAGCAATCAATTATAAGAGCAATGGTAGTTGGTGGGCGAAGGAATACTGTCTGCTTTCTTGCTACCGTTCTATCTCTCTTTGTAACATCATTGCTTCTGACAAATGGTGAAGCTTTTGATTATCCATCAATTGTGGAGCCTCCATTCTCCCAGACCAACGTCGTCCCAA